AATGGAATGGGATATGTCTACTCACATCTAACACAATCTTTATTCAAAGATCTCACGACATGCAAGTAAACTGTCTTGCTGTTATTGCAATGCGTGAGGAATAACAGCATAATCAAGCACAATCGTGAGAATTGACACCGAGAAAACTGACTAAACTAGAGAATACTCTATATCTATTTTTCTAAACATAAACCTTTAATTACAGTTAATAGCTATTATAATAACCGTGTATCTGAGCGCCTAATCTTTGTACATCTCCTCTATCTCTATAGATCACATAAGGCAGATTAGATATGAGATATTCTATATAAAGTTGGTTTCTCAATAAATATGAGCTCTGGTGCTGAAGTAAGCATGTAGGAGGTATACACTCGTATTAAGTCGCTCATCTGTAGCAATAATTATCTGAAATAATCTGTAAAAAAATAGCAATGTATTGCGTCATGTTGATAATTTCGTCAGCATTGTCCTAAATGCGAATTTGGAGCACATGCTGCGTAAAATAACAAACTTTTAGCTTAGTAAATTTTTTTTAGTCGACTATCGCTTCATTCAATAATTGGGTATTCAGATGAGAGCTCCAATACGTTATCTAAATTATTCCAAACGTTTTTGGATCAATTGGAGAAGCTGTGATAGAATCAACCTATTAGCTTCGTGAATTCTATGGTTCATTGTGAATACAAATGTGATTATAGGCTTATGAGCTCTTTTTGAGATTGAGAAAGCAGGAATGATAAGCAATTACTGTATGATAGCAAGTTAATAAAAATCGAAGCTGTTGGTGATAATTAATCATTTCTTGTGGCTAAGCTGTAACTGATTGCAATCAGCACTAAAGGGCCAGTTGAATTAGTAATTAGCTTACTAGGATTTCTCTCGGAAAAAAGGGAGTTGTCTACTCCGTATTAAAGATAATCATCCATTCAAGCAGGAATAAGAAATGAATCCTTGAAGTCATAGTTTTGAGTTGTAGTGAAAAGTTCATATGACCATGCAGATTTAAACTATTTGAAAAAGGGTTCCTTTATAAACTACTCAGACAAGCAACGCAGTAATCAAACTATTCATAATACGAATTTTGCATTTACTTTCATTTGCAATTTGAGGGGCGCTGGGATGAATTTTCAGAGGAACAGAAATACTATGTCGCACTTTTCTTAATCATAATAGTGATACTTGAAGATGCATATTTTTGCTAAAATATATGATACAACAAGTGAAAGATGAAAGACGCGAGGAGAGTAGGAAGGTCTATGCACTGACTAAGTCAAGCAATCAATCTTGCCGAGTAGAGTGAAAAATTGAAGAGTTGTTGAACGGTTGCGCTAGCACTGTCGTGATCTTAAAGGACGTGAGGAGAAATAGACAGCTTTTCACATTTTGGTCGGCACTAGTGGCACGCACTGACTTTGAAATTAGTAGAAATAGCATTAGGTCCTCCTTCAGCACAAAAGCGAACTTGAAAAGGAAAATAAAG